AAATGGATATATGTCCACTTCGTAAAGTAGCCCAAACAGCGAGTTTTAGGGGAATCGACTCATGTGGCCTTATTTTTATCCCTTTTTATATATCTTTTTTCCTTTTCTATTTAAGTTACAACTGCTTTAATTTTTTTTATCTTGTTCTATGTGGCTACTGGTTATTGTATGATAAGTTCAAATGGTGAGTTTTAGGTCTTTTATCCTTTTGTTATTTTGTTTTTCTTATATTTTGTTATCTTATAATTTAAAAAAAAAAATCCTTAGTAATTATTCTCAACATATTGTTGTTTACGTTCTACGTCATAAAAATTTCAATCACAACTCAATACGAGCGATCATGCGTATCTAAACTAGTATTTTGATGGATTTTGTGATTTTTAGTTATTCTAGTGAGAAACTACGAAGAATGCCAGAGGTTATCTACCGGTATCATGGTTGTTATTAATTGGTAATTGTTCAGAAGCCCGTACTACAGTGATTATCAGTCGGTATTGTGACTGTTATCGGTAGGTATTGTATTAATATATTTAATATTCTAGATATTGTGGTATGATATGACGTGATATTTTTTTTTTGCCCCCAGAGGCCGGAATGGGTCAAAAATCACATTTTTATTTATGTTTTACATTTTAAAATTAATACATGATTTTTAGGAATTAATGCAACAAGCGACACTATTTTTTGAAGAATATTCTATTTTTTATTATTTTCTCTATTTATCGTCTTTGAAAAATAAAATAAAATAAAAATGAAGTCAAAAAATTCTGAAATTTTGCATACATGATCCTTACATTTTTCTGAGTATGCCCGTAAGAAATAGCCTCAAAAAAATGAAAAAGGAAAACGCTGCCAAAAAACATTCGGCTCGCGCAGTGTGGCGCCCAGGTGCCGGGATGGATCAAAAATTCACATTTTTATTTATGTTTTACATTCTAATATTAATATATGATTTTTAAGAATTAATGCAACAAGCGGCACTATTTTTTTGCTGAATATTCTATTTTTTTTTATGATTTTCTCTATTTTTTATCTTTGAAAAATAAAATAAAATAAAAATGACATCACAAAATTCTGAAATTTTATAGACACGATCCTTACATTTTTTCTGGGATACGCCTGCAAAAAATGGCCTCAAAAAATTAAAAAAGAAAAACGCTACAAAAAGACCCCCGACCCGAGCAATGAGGCGCCCAGGGGCCGGAATGGGTCAAAAATTTACATTTTTAATTATATTTTGTCTTCTAAAATTAACACATGATTTTTAAGAATTAATGCAACAAGCGGTGCTATTTTTTATGAATATTCTATTTTTTATGATTTTCTCTTTTTTTGTCTTTGAAAAATAAAATAAAATAAAAACAATGTCAAAATATTTTGAAATTTTGCAAACATGATCCTTACATTTTTCTGAGCATGACTCCAAAAAATGACCTCAAAAAATTAAAAAAGAAAACGCTGTCAAAAAACATCTGATGCGCGCAGTGTGGCGCCCAGGTGCTGGGATGGGTAAAAAATTTACATTTTTTTTATGTTTTGCATTCTAATATTAATATATGATTTTTAAGAATTAATGCAACAAGTGGCACTATTTGTTTGATGAATATTCTATTTTTCATGATTTTCTCTATTTTTTGTCTTTGAAAAATAAAATAAAATAAAAAAATCGTCAAAAAATTCTACAACTTTCGAGACACGATCCTTACATTTTTCTGAGTATGCCTGCAAAAAATGGCCTCAAAGAATTAAAAAAGAAAAACGCTGCAAAAGACCCCCGACCCGGGCAATAAGGCGCCTAGGGACCGGAATGGGTCAAAAATTCACATTTTTAATTATATTTTGTCTTCTAAAAGTAATATATGATTTTTAGGAATTAATGCAAAAAGCGGCGCCATTTTTTGATGAATATTCTATTTTTTTATGATTTTCTCTTTTTTCATTTTCGAAAAATAAAATAAAATGAAAACGACGTCAAAATATTCTGAAATTTTGTAGACACGATCCTTACATTTTTTTGAGCATGCCTGTAAAAAATGAAAAAAAAAAAAAAAAAAACGCTGCAAAAAGACCCCCGACCCGCGCAGTGGGGCTCCCAGGGGCCGGAATGGGTCAAAAATTCACATTTTTATTCATGTTTTGCATTCTAAAGTTAATACATAATTTTTAGGAATTAATTCAATAAGCGACACCATTTTTTGATGAATATTCTATTTTTATGATTTTCTCTTTTTTTTGTTTTTAAAAAATAAAATAAAATAAAAACGACGTCAAAATATTCTAAAACTTTGTAGACACGATCCTTACATTTTTCTAAGTATGTCTGCAAAAAATAGCCTCAAAAAGTAAAAAAGAAAACATTCCCAGCCTGCGTAGTGGGGCGCCTAGGGGCTAGAATGGGTCAAAAATTCACATTTTTATTTATATTTTGCATTCTAAAATTAATATATGATATTTAGGAATTAATGCAACAAGCGGCACCATTTTTTATGAATATTCTATTTTTGATCATTTTCTCTATTTTTTGTCTTTGAAAAATAAAATAAAATAAAAACGACGTCAAAAATTTCTAAAATTTTTCAGACACGATCCTTACACTTTTTGAGCATGCGTGCAAAAAATGGCCTCAAAAAATAAAAATGCTGTCAAAAAGCCCCCGGCCCGCGCAATGGGGCGCCCAAGGGCTGAGATTGGTAAAAAAATTCACAATTTTGCTTATTTTTTGTATTCTAAAATCAATACAAGATTTTAAAGAATTAATGCAACAAGCAATACCATTTCTTATGAATATTCTATTTTTTTTATGATTCTCTCTATTTTTCGTCTTTGAAAAATAAAATAAAATAAAAACGTTCTGAAATTTGCAGACACGATCCTTACATTTTTCTCAGCATGCCTCCAAAAAATGGCCTCAAAAAATGACAAAAGAAAAACGCTAGCAAAAAACTCCCGGCCTGTGCAGTGGGGCACACAGTTGCTGGGATGGGTCAAAATTTCACATTTTTATTAATTTTTTGCATTATAAAATTAATACATGATTTTTAGGATTTAATGCAACGAGCGGCACCATTTTTTGGTGAATATTCAATTTTTTATTATTTTCTATATTTTTCGTCTATCAAAAAAATAAAATAAAAATGATGTCAGAAAATTATGAAATTTTGCATACATGATCCTTACATTTTTCTAAGCACGCATGCAAAAAATAGAATCAAAAATTGAAAAAAGAAAAACGTTGTTAAAAAGCATTAGACCGTGTAGTGGGGCACCCAAGGGCCGGGATGGCAAAAAAATTCACTTTTTTATTTATTTTTTGTATTCTAATATTAGTACATAATTTTTAAGAATTAATGCAACAAGCAGCACAATTTTTTGATGAATATTCTATTTTTATGCTTTTCTCTATTTTTCGTATTTAAAAAATAAAATAAAATAAAATAAAAATGATGTCAGAAAATTTTGAAATTTTACAGAATGATCCTTACAATTTTCTGAGCATGCAAACAAAAAAAGGCCTCAAAAATTGAAAAAAGAAAAACGCTATCAAAAAGCATTTGACCCACGCAGTGGGGTGCCCAAGGGTCGGGATGGGTCAAAAATTAACATTTTTATTTATTTTTTTCATTCTAAAATTAATACATGATTTTTAGGAATTAATACAATAAGCGGCACCATTTTTTTGTTGAATATTCTATTTTTTTATGATTTTCTCTATTTTTCGTCTTTGAAAAATAAAATAAAATAAAAACATGTCAAAAAATTCTAAAATCTTACACACATGATCCTTACATTTTTCTGAGCATGCCTGCATAAATGGCCTCAAAAATGGAAAAAGAAAAATACTGTCAAAAAGCATCTGGCCCACGCAGTGGGGCACTCAGGGGACAGGATTGGTCAAAAATTTATATTTTTATTAAGTTTTTGCATTCTAAAATTTATACATGATTCTTAGGAATTAAGCAACAAGCGGCACCATTTTTTGATTAATAATATATTTTTTATGATTTTCTCTATTTTCGACTTTGAAAAATAAAATAAAATAAAAAAGACGTCAAAAAATTCTGAAATTTTACAGACACTGTCCTTACATTTTTCTGAGCATAAATCAATCTGAATCATATTTTTATGTCATTCGTATTTGGAGTATGTTTGCTCGTGCAATGTTAGAGTCCATTGGGATCTTGCACCCTTAAAACAACAAAGAAAAAAGAAAAATTTACATTTTTATACCATATGTTTTAAGTTTATTTAATATCTATACATTCGGTTTTTAATCTCATTAAATTTATACCTTTAAATTTGATTTAATATACAAATCTATCCCTTATCTCGGTCAATAATTGATTTTGACCTTTAAAATGACCAAACTATCCTTAAGAAAAATAGAGAAAATAAAACTAAAACTTTCTAACACTACAAAAAGTAAAAATTAAAAAAAAAAAACCATTTCAATGGTATTTTAGATTTTCTAAGGTTAAAACTGTAAGTTAAAAGTTTTTTTTTAGCTTTTTTTTCATTTTTATTTAAGGGTACTTTAGGTATTTTATGCTTAAAATCAAAAGTTGACTGTGAAGAGGTATAAATTTGAGTATTAAATTTAATTTGAATGTATATATTTTATAAGATTAAAAACTGAAAGTATTGTTTTTTAATAAACCCAAAACAAAGGGTATAAAAATGTAAATATCCCAAGAAAAAAACTAGGGTATTTAGCAATTTTACCTCTAGAACTTTTTAGATTTTAAAAACTTACAAAAAATTATCTAATTTTTAATTTTGGAACTTTACCCTTTTAACTTGCAAACTTGTTATATTGTGTTTTATTTTCACATTTTTGGTCGGATTTAAGAGTTACTTGGAAATATGAGGTTGTTGTTCATTTTCATCCTCACATGAGGTTATTGTTGATTTTCATTTGCTAATTTAGTAAGCATTGGTAAAAGGGGTTACAATGCAGTAATTTTATGGGTGAAACGTCAAAATTTTTAATAGGCAAATTGTCAAACTAGGAAGCAAAAGTAATAATAAAAGTTGTAAAAACTATTGTGATGAAATTTTTTTACAATGAACCGCAAATGCCCATCATTCTATCAATCATCGCGCACGACAAATATATACCACTCTACAAATCTCTACAAGAAAACAAGAATTTAGAACCTAAATTTCATCAACATCTTCATTACCCTCATCATCAAACGAAGACCCAAGCACTGTTTGTTTCCCGAGAAAATCCTTAAACGCCCTCAGATTATCCCTAGCTCTGAAACCAGCCTCATCTCCCATGGTCCTCTGGTACATCTTCTTCAACCTGTCTCCCATCTCCTTATCCTCCCCCAACTTCCTCAACCCACCCTCAACATCCTTCTTCCCAAACCCACCAATCCTAACTCCAATCTTCCAAACTCTAACAATATAATTGCAGTTCATAAACTGATCTCCCGCGATCGGATAACAGAGCAGCCGCTTCCGGCACTGGATGGCCTCCAAAGTCGAGTTCCACCCGCAATGCGTGAGGTAAACTCCCACCGATTTGTGCCTCAAAACCTCCATTTGCGGTGCCCACGACACAATTTTCCCTTTTTCGGCCACTCTTTCGACGAATCCGCCGGGTAATCCCGATCTCCACGAGCTGCCCAGAACCCATATGAAGAAATGCCCCACAGACTCCAACGCCATGGCCAAGCTCCTGATCTTGGACTCTCCAATGGGGCTGACCCAACTCCCAAAAGATATGTAAATAACTGAATTTGGCCTCTGTTTATCAAGCCATTTTAAGCAGCTTTTGTCTTCTTCCCGGAATGTTGGGTTTTTGGTTTGTGAATGGTTTGTGAGAGGGCCGATTGGGAGAAGAAGAGGAAGATTTGGGTTTGGGGGGTTTGTGGTGAGGCGGTTTTGGTGTTGGAATTCATCTGGGAAGGAATTTACGAGGACCCATTTGAGAGTTGTTAATCTTGATAAAGTTCTTGTCCAGAATTTGAATCTTGCTTTTCTTGCAACTTGTGTGCCGATCAGCCATGGAAGCTCTTCGGTTGATAAGATGGGTTGGTTGGGTAGAAACCGCACTGCACTGTGTTGTCTTGGACTTCCTGCCAATTTGAATGAAATAAATAAATAAACGTCAAAAAATAGAAAAGTAACCATAGGTAATAAAAAAGGTTTCAAATTATTAAAAAAATATTATTGACCTTTTGATTAGCGTGCACGCCAACATTTTATAATGTTAAATAACATTTATAATAAAATTAAAAGTATCAATTTTACTTTTGACTTTTGTCATTCAAATGTGACATACGGATTTGTCAGTGTTTTGTTGATAGGTCTGTTTTTCATTCAAATAACATTTATACGCGTCTACGGTAGTTTTTTTTTTATGTTTCTCTGTTGTCATAGATCATATTGCGATGGATTCATATCACGCGTTCAAATTTTTGTGTTTCGTATAATGTCTAACAATCTACATTTTGAAACCTTATCTAAAAAGTCAAATGCTTTTTAATTTAGTTTTTTTATGTTTTTATTTGATGATTGAAAGGTAATGGTTCAACGTCATTTGGGACGAACCATGAAATAATTTGAATATGGTTGTAATGATCATATATTAATATTAAGATAAATTATCAAAAAAAAAATATTATTGACCTTTTGATTATTGTAGTGTGTACGTCATCATTTTATAATGTTAATCATAATAAAATTCAAAATATAAATTTTTATTTGAATTTTTTTCATTCAAATGTGACATCCGGATTTGTTAGTTTTTTATTGATAGGTTTGTAAAAATTATCACATCAAAATAATATTAAAAATAATATTTAATAATGAAAAATAACCAGTCTCTTGCATATGAGTTGAAATAAAAAAAATTTGGATGAAGTTTGGGATGTATTAGACGCGAGAATGTGTGATTGTTTAATTGGGTTATCTTAGGAATTAGGATATATTAGATGCAAGAATGTGTGATTGTTTGAACTGAAAAGATTAAAATAAAAGTTGGGATACTTAGCGCTACTCTAATATTTGACACAAGAATGTATTATTGTTGTTTATACTTCATCATTGACGTGTTAGATTACTCGTTATAGGATCCATTATAGCATGTACACTTAAGCTTACCCTTTTGATTTTTTTAACCAATCATTGTGTGTAATTACGTATTTGATGATGTATGTCTAATATTGATACGGAAATTCTTGATTTATGAATCATAAATGACATATATATACACATATACTTAAAGTAAGACTGATTTACGCATAGAAATGGGGTGGTCCATCATACTAGTTATACGTATATCTTTGTTTTTTTTTTCCCTCTAAATGGGTCAACTTCTCTTGATATCTTAATCTATGTAAGAAGGTAATATATCACAAAATATGGGACAAATTTCACGTGTGAAGATCCTTCGTCGAATAACTTGTCGGTTTATTGTCGTTGACAACTCATTTATTTGGTTCACAAAATAATTATAGTTGTTCTCTTTTTTCCTTTTTTAAAGGTTTTTTTTTTGGCTGATCAAATTTGGTTTTCTTTTAAGATTTAAGATAAAGAAGTTGTATACAGTGGCCACAACATATATTTTAAGGGAGAGTTTTTTTTTTTTTTTTTTTTTTTTTTTTTTTTTTTTTTTTTTTAGAATTTATCTATATTAATATGATCAATTTTTAACGGTTAAATCTTATTAAAATCACTTAAATTAAAAAAAAATATAAAAAATAATAATTTTCGATACATATTTAATTGTTGAAATTAAAACAAAAACTTTTCAGTATTTTTTTGTGTGGACCGTCTAATTTTCTAGAGTGGATGAACCTACAAATTAGCTTACTTCACTACAACGCAATTTGGTGCCTTTCTGTTTTATCTGAGGAAACAAATATTTGACGTCAGTACAAGTTGACACGTATTTTTATAATAAGTAATCATAAAATTAGCCAACTGACACAAACCATAATCTGTTGGCGGCAGCCATGGAATACTAAGAATATAAATATTGCCAGCAGATAATCCGTGGTAGTATGGTATAATATTATAGGTACATTATATACGAACTCAAATTACTTCTCTAATTTTAATGTCCTAATTAGTGTTTAATTAATTATATTATTTTATGTTATATAAAAATTAAAATTATTTTTTAATTAATCTTTTTGTGTTTATCATAAATGATTTGAGGTGATTTAATTAATTGAACACTAATTAAGACATTAAAAATTAAACAGAGAATATGGATCACATTATAAGTATATTTGTTGACATAGACGTGGAAGATAATAATAAGATATGGCCGTTAATTAAGCATTATAATAAATAGTTTGTTTCACAAGGCTATATATGGACGATTTAAAGAATAGTTAATCGTGAATCTCAATGTCAACTAGCCAACAAATTTTCTTGATTAATATATATATGTGTATATATATATATGGCATGTGTTGAGTCAAAACAAACCCCCATAACAAGACAGGTGATCGTGCTGATTTTGTAATTTTTTTTTTCTTTTTTAGATATGTAAAATTTTAGCTTTATTAGCAAACCAACGAATTCTCTAAACTGAAAAAGATGAAAATTAAGATGAGAGAGACTGTTAACTACTAAATTACTGGCACGTACGTTGCATATATAATAACTAACAATTAGTCCCACATAGTAAATTGTGTGATTATAGATAAGTCCCACGTATCATTTTTATGCTTAAACTTTTTTGTTGATAATTTAGTTTCTGAATTTTTAGAAGACTAACAATTAGTCCTGATTATTAATGAAAGTTAGTCGTAGGGAATTTTGTAACTAAAATATTAATTAAATTGCCAAAAAAAAAAAAGGAGTTTTCAGAGAGGAAACTCATGTCAAACTAAGAGAAGTTTATAAAAAAAACAAAAGTACTTTTGATTTTACCAATAATTTTACATTTTATATTTCTCAAGTTCAATTTAAATTCATGATATATGACTTCGACGACACGTATTTTTTATTAAAAAATATTAATGAATCACCGCAAAGCCAAAGGAAAGACGAAAAGGAAACAAAGAGAAATGGGGATAGAAATGATACATGAATTCTTGCAAATATAAACTGACCTGCATCAGAAATGAGGCCTGAACGGACCATGTCCGGTATGGCGAGGATGAGGCGATAAGTGGCGAGCATGACGGGCCAAAACCCGGTGACAGGAACCCGACACCGGTTGCCTACTCCGATGGCCCATGAAGCCAGCAAATCCACAACCATACAAGCCACAACTCCATCACCAAGTTCACAAACAAGCCGCTCCAAATGGCAAGGCATATTCTTCTCCATGGCCTCTTCTATAGCGAAGAAGTCTCTAGGTCTTTTCTCGTCGATGCCGTCGGGTATCGACGCGCAAATGATCGCGCTTTCGGCCTCAATCTGACGTGCTATTTGGTTGTGAATGTACTCGGGAGTGACCAGAAGTGGTCGGAATCCTTGGCTTAGCAAGGAATTGGCTAGCTTTAGCATGGGAGTGACGTGTCCTTGGGCTGGATATGGGACTAAGATGATGATATTGGAGTAGCCTTTTTGACACTTCTTCATGTTTCCCATATCTGTTCTAGATTTGGTAATATTATTGGTAATAATGTTTTTGTTTTTGTTTTTGTTCAAGTTTTTGATGGAAAAATTAAGTTGGGAATTTGTTATAGAGAAAGGAAGGAGGAAGGGTTGGAGAGAGAGTGAGGGAGGAGAAAGTTGAGAGTCAACTACAAGCATGTGCCTTCTAGTTTGTATTCTAAGCCAAATTTATAGCCATTCTTTCGCCCAAAAAATTGTAAATTACTAAAGCACGTATTAATATAGAACAAATTCACGCGGTCCGTGACAATGGGGGACAGAGTGAAACTACAAAATGGAACTATTATATTATTGAAATAGTGAATTGGTACTTCCGTGTTTAGATAATATTAAATAAATACCTTAAAGTTTAAATAAATGTCATCTAAGTACCTTCAAGCCCTCTTTGGACTTGCGCAATGTTGGGGACGACGAGGGTCTAAGAGCGGGAAGTAGTCGGACATGAAGGGTTTGGCGTGGGGTCGGAAGCGACGCTGGGCACAGGGGTGAGAGGACATTGATGTCGCTAATCTAAAATCTGGTTGCCACTAAAACTAAATGAGAGAGACAAAATAGGAATTACTAAATTCAAATTATAGAATTTGGTTATCAAATATTCAAAGTCGAACTAAGATGGAAGGTTGATATCGAGACTTGCGGCATCATGCAACTACATAAAAGAAATAGGGGACAATTAATTTATAGTCACATAAAGGCCTACAAATATATATGGGTAAACCACACAAAGGAGCCCTAATTATCACTATTTTGGTACCCCGACATGTATATTATACTATGTAATCCTCTCTAACCTAGTAAAACTCCCAAACATCATAATGAATGTAATTCCTGTTTTGAGAGTAAATCACTCTAAATTGTTGGTGTTCATCCTACTTTTTAAGCATCAAGACACCATTTAACGCGAGTATTGATCATATATTGTTAAGTGGGTGAGTTATTTTTTATTGACGAATTTTCACCGTACACAAATGTAATAAATGTTTATAAAAGGTTATATTTTTTTATTATATTTATTTTGTAATACGTATTTGCAAAATCTTATATGTTTATAAAAAGTTATGTTTATATTTATTATAAAATGTTATATTTATATGTTTATAAGATGTAATGCATATTTACTTCCTTAAAAGACTCTTCATTTTGTAATTGTGATTTTAGTTTCCGAGTGGAAGTAATAAAAGTAAGAACTTATATGGGAATAGTGTTTGGATAGATAGGGACCACCCCTGGTCAAAAAGCCGTGTCAAACTAATTTCTTACCCACCAAAAGCAGCTTAGATATTGCACGTAACACAAATAACAGTCCGAGTCATTTTTCCACTGGATTAAAGTGCTAATGTTTTTTTTTTTTTTTTTTTTTTTTTTTTTTTTTTTGAGCAGATTAAAGCGCAAAGTTAGGTGTGCCAAAAAAAAAAAATAAAAAATAAAAAAGTGCCAAGTTAGGCTTGTAAACACAGAAAATCAACCGATTATTAAAATGGTCTTCATACCTTTAGCTTTTCTTGTTTAACACTTTACGCGTAAACACATTGAATGACAGAAGTACATAAACACATGATCTGTTTCTTTTTTTTGTTAATATATTTATCTTTCCTTGAAATGACCATTTAACCGTTTAAACATGATTAGGTCAAGAAGCGTGATTTGCTAATTAAAAGTTAAATGCTTGACGTGCGTCAAGAGTACATGTGTAAGAGAAACGTATTAGTCTATTTGGCAAAAAGAAGCACAACTCTTACGAGAAAATACTCTAAATGAAAAACAAAACAGGTAATTATCATGTATTTGAAAATTACAAAAATATATCTTTACATTTATAATTCTTGCAAATCACTCCCCTTCTCCAGTCATGTTACGAAAACTTACGTTATTTTTAAATTTATCCTTGTTGTGCATAATGAAAATACTAAATCTATATGCTACTCCTTTCAGTGTTGATTGTGCGAGGCTGTCATCGATGCATGCTAACCGGGCATTGACTTTATGCGGCGCGAGTTTGAAACAAAGAGCATGGATAAATTGATAGAGAATGAGAAGCGGAGAGAAGATCATGAGAAAGAATAGATTGCTCGAATTCACATAATATTATATGTGTTTAAGCATTTAGTAAGAGTAAATTAATATACAATGTTGTCTAATCGTCTTCCAACCCAACAACGTCTAGGGGGAAGAATTTGAAGTAAATTTCTATTTGAAGGCTCTTTTTCTGTAATTTCAAAAACATAGGCTTCTTTTAGAGATAAAAACCAAAAAAAAAAAATAATAATAATTAAAAGTAATAATAATCAAAGGAGATTTTTGCCAATTCTTCAAGGGAAAACATATATACCAATCTACAAAAGTAGTTAATTTGTTGTGTTGCTTCTCGCCTAGGCGAAAAAAAAAAAAAACGTTGCTTGTTGATGACTACGCACCGCCTAGCACCTATGAGCTAATGCATATTTAGCTCATTATATATACATATAAGTCGCACGCAAATTAAGATGAATTGAAACTAGATTCCTAGCAAAGATGTTCCTCGAAGGGTGTATCATAAATCCAACTTTGTACTGACGCGCAGATCCTCCACAAATCTCAATAGATATATAAAAATTATAAAGCTTAGTTCTTTATTTATAACTCGTTCATTTCACCAATTTGAATTTTTAATTTTAAATTTTTACAGTTAAAAATTCATAAAAAATGTCACATTTAATTTTTTCTATTACAGTTAAAAGCTCTAAAAAAAAATATTATACCTCAACTTAAATTAAAAACTCAAATTCACAAAGTGGACGAGGTCTTAATTTTTATTGGAAAGCCTGTTATAGTAATAAAATATACAAAGCATAGTTCTAGAATGCTTTAAAGGGTCTTTATTTAATTTTTGTTGGCATTTAATTATTTAAAGCCGATTAGTTGTATATTGATTAGGAAGAAATAAATAGTTAACAAATAGGTCGATAGAAAGTTAGAAACCACGTGATCAATTATCGCGTTGGCAGCCTTGTTCCCTTTACCTTGTAATATTGGCATCTATTTGAATATTATGTGTTTGAGAAAAAGAAAAAGAGAGAATAAATGGAGAATGCGGTGAGAAAAAAAATGGCGAAAAAAAAACTATAAATTTTCAGATTTTTATCAATTTCATCTCGTGATAACATATAATTTGACATTCATACATGCTTTTTCCCTTAAAAAAAATGAGAAAAAAAAGGAGGTGGGGGAAAAAGAAACGTGGGTGAGTGCCAATAGAACAGTTGCACATGAAGAACAAAATAATGGACGGTACCTTATGGATACGCACGACAGAGTTGTGTAGCTGTTTAACTAACCAATTACATAAGTTTTTTAATCATCAATCGGAAAACAAAAATAATCCGTAATCTTAATGATTCAACATGAAGTGGCTCTGATACCACTTGTTAGAAATCAAAGATTTAGTGAAAATCACCACCCAAAAGCCAAAAACATTTATGTTAGATCATCAAGAATTAATAAATCTGTAAACGGAAGCGTACCTGAATCCATATTGCTTGATTTCTCTTTAGAGTCGTGCAGTTTGTCTTCCAGATCAACACGTTTTCCTAGAGAACCTTTTAACTTTCTCTCTGTACTCTTTCTGATGATGAGATGTCAGAATGAATGAAATGATACGTGTGATCTGGGGACCATAACTGTTATATATTGATAACTTTCCTGTTATATTTTGGTATTTCTATTTTAGCCTATCATAAAAATAAAAATTACCCTTAAGTCTCTACACATTAAAGACTCACACCCTATTAGATACATTAAAGCCCAAAATACCTAAACCTTAGTAGATCACTTTTAATTAGGCTTAACCTTATATGACAGCCCGCAACACATAATTATTCACATATAAGCCCAACATTGGATTAAGGATCCAACAAGTGGGACTAGCAATCTCTACTGAAAATTTTATTTTTTATTTTTTAAAAATTACATTTAAAGTTTGTATTTTTTCTAGTTTTGCTCCATATAAATTAGTTGTTGTTGTTGTTTTTTTTTTTTTTTTTTTTTTTTTTTTTTTTTTTTTTTTTTTCACGTACCCTCATTGAACTTAATTTACATCTTTTTATTGTTTTTTTGTGTACTTAAAGAAAAAAACTAGCGTGTGCCATAATAGAAGTGGAAATCTGGCTACGCTTAACACACCCATTTTTTTTCTTCTTTTAAGATGGGTTCAAGATTCCATAGTTAACATCACTTTAAAGCTCTTATTCGTTGTAGATTGTGTGACGTTGGACTTGTGATTTGTGAGAGTGACATTGAAGCCATCATTAAGTAAAATTGGATCAAGGCTTTTTTTTTTTTTTTTCCCCTTCAATTGATGTATCATCAGATTTTTATTATAGAGGAAAGGATAAAGAATAGGGTGACATCAACGCTCCTCATTTTATTCAAAGAAAAAAGAAGGAAGCATGCTAACGTATGATGAACAAATGAAAATAAATTATTAGGCTCCAATGCAATTTGTGCTTTGCCAATAAGCCACGTACTATAAATCTATTGCTCTATATCTTAAAAGGATGTGTGAAAAATATGCATCCAATCAATAACATAAAAGATTAGCAAAAACTTGATATGAAAATGCTTTTTGCACATTTATAACTAAAGGCAAAGAAAACAATAACATGTATTCTGACGTTGCTTTGATGTTACTATTATATCTTATTATATCTTTCGTTTGAGAACTGCCGACTTCAGAAAAGTGAGCTACAAAGGGTGCAAAATGCATGCCAACTTGAGTGCGCCATAAAATACACGTGAGATGTTCTTTTTTTTTTTTTTTCCTGATCTTCGAAAAAGAAAAAAAGAAGAGAGAATTAATAAGAGGTATGATTAGACACGTTTTTCATGAATGCATGTAACGTAATTATTTGTGAGAAATGGGCAGTGGGACCCCAAAGGTTGATGATGCCCACAAATCAAGTGCAAATTATAGTGTCTTTCCATTGGCTTCCTATAGTTTTTATAGGAAAAGAGTTAGAGAGGGACGACCAGCCGTAATTATTAAGGTCTCGTTCACTTCGTGGATTCGAGTTTTTAATTTGAGCTGAGATGTGACATTTTCAGAGAGCTTTTCACTGTAGCAAAAAAAGTTAGATGTGACATTTTCTGAGAGTTTTTTACTGTAA